CACGACGCCGAAATGGATTACTACGGTTTAAGGTTAGCTACTTGCTCGAGTGACAATTCGGTGAAGATATTCGATTTAAAGAACGGCACTCAGAGCCTAGTTGCTGTTCTCAAGGGACACATCGGTCCCGTGTGGCAAGTCGCATGGGCGCATCCCAAATTTGGCAATCTTTTAGCATCTTGCAGCTATGATAGGTATACGTTGATATTCTTGATTTCTTTTTCCTAAAATGTCAAATAAATTTTCAATAATATTATTAAATATTCTTTTTTTAAGGATATAAACTCGATAATTTAATTAAAACAGCTGAATGTAAAATATCTAACAGCTTAACATATGTATGTTTGCGCAGAAAAGTGATCATCTGGAAGGAGCTTGGAGAATGGACAAAGATATACGAACACACGGGTCACGATTCGTCCGTCAATTCGGTTGCCTGGGCGCCGCACGAGTTTGGTTTAATCTTGGCTTGCGGAAGCTCGGATGGATCAATCTCTATCCTCACAAATACCGGAGATACTTGGCAGACCCAAAAAATATCAAATGCTCATACAATTGGGTGCAATGCAGTTAGTTGGTGTCCAGCAATCGATTCAGCTGTTGACTCAGCCAACTCGACTCAACAAAGAAGCGGTCCTATTAAGAGATTAGCCACTGGTGGCTGTGACAATTTAGTGAAAATATGGAAAGAGGAAGGCGATAGATGGATAGAAGAAAATAAATTGGAAGCGCACAGCGATTGGGTATGATTTAATATTGCAATGGAAATGTATTGGAATAAGGATCTATGTGTATTTTATCAAACTTACAGGTTCGAGATGTAGCCTGGGCACCAGCGGTTGGACCATCTAGAGCCGCCTTGGCATCTTGCTCGCAAGATCGCCGCGTGGTCGTATGGACTTCTAACGATTACGCTAGCTGGACGCCAAACGTTCTTAACGTCTTCGACGATGTAATCTGGAACGTCAGCTGGTCGTTGACTGGCGGTATCTTAGCCGTTAGTGGCGGAGACAACAAAGTCTCTCTCTGGCGCGAAAATTCCGAAGGACAATGGGCATGTATTTCGGAATTGAATAAAGATCAAGGGAATCTTAACAATCCAGATCAACGTGCATTATAATGTCGTTAATAGAAATGTAAAGTAATGGCATTTTATACAAATAAGCATTGTAAATTAACACAATTTGTTTAAAATTAAGTATATCCTGGCAAACTGCACAGTTATTACGAGTTATTTACTATTAGTATTTGAACATCCGCAAACATTTATAATAAAATATAATATAATGTCGCTTAATTGTGTGATTATAAAGTTACATTTTATTATACAATTATTATCAAAAAGTTATTAATATTTTCAAGTATCGTATATCTATATATATATATATGTTTATGGACAAAATATTTTTCACAAATAGATTACGTTTTCAAAAATGTGTACGTATTCAGTTCATTATATTTATAAAAGGAATACATTTTTCTATCTCCAAAAGTCAGATTATTTTATATTTCATCTTCTCACTAATCTTGAGTATATAAAGATGCGGCGAAAACTATGTCGCGTTTGATTGCAGTCGAAGCTTCCTCCATCTTTTCTTTCAAAACCGGATCACCTATAGTCACGGCCGCATTTTTAACATCTCGCAAGGTTTCGCCGAGTTGTTGTATACATCGAACTATAATTCCTTCTTGGACGTCCGTCATTTTCATGATCTCTGCGAACGATTTAGCTTGCGCCCATTCGTAGACAACTTCCACCAAACCGAAATTCAAAGACGGTATCATCGACAATTGATATTGCTGCTCTAAACGTTCCAATTCCGCATGCACCTCGCTCATTATCTTGCAACCCTAAAAGAAAAGGAGCATCGTTTTAACTTCTCGATGCGTAATCACCCGCGTGTGCGCACGCGCGATATGTAATTTTTTTAAATCTTTATTAATAATTATTCGAAAGAAAAGACAGATTAACGACATGTACATTAGCGAGATTCGGTGTGAGTGTAGGTTCCGAATCTGTACGTTGTTGAAAGATTAGTGCTGATAACAACGCTACTATTTCCGCTGGTTGTAAAACGGTTAACACATTCTTGAGAATCAGCTCTGTTATCAACAACTCGTTACTACCCATTTGCAGCGCGACTCTTCCTTTTAAACCAACTGCAAATCAATATATTAAGACTATAAAGAAATATTATTCACATGTAACACTATTACATATATAGAAATACTTTTACCATAATACACAAACCTCTTTCATCGCTATCTATATATCTCAAATGTTTGAGCAGAGCCACCATATTCATATAATCCGGATACAGCGCCATTCCTTCATCGCTAAGTTTAAGTTGGAGCTGCCGTTTTTTATCTTCGAGTTGATTTCGTTCGAATACAGGTCTAAACTGTTCTTCGAAATTCGGTATTTCCATGCACCTCATGTCGTTGAGTTCAGCTTTTAATTTGTCTCTATGCTGTACTCTTAATTGAAAATCATTTTTCGATAAAAGTTCGATATACGGACATAGAATTTGATCATTGGCGGCAGCATTAAATGATAGAGAAATTAATTCTTGAACCGCCGTCTGACACGTCTGCCCCGGTGGATCGTTTCTAGGGAAAGGAAATAGCGGATAAATATGATATTCTAAGAATTTTTGCTGTTTTGTTATATTACTTAAATCTTACTTAAATCGTGAGATTTGCCTCTTTTCCCAATCATTCTGCACTAAAGAGCAATCGACTTTTATCTGACACTTAGTTATCTTCAGTATATGCCATGAGTATAAAGTCACGACCTCGTGCGATGTATTAGTGCTTGGAACAAATATATTTTTTTTCGTTAGACTAATAATTTCACACCATTTTTCATATATTTGAAGATTCTTGAATTCAGCAGCCTCGGAATTGGATGCGTCCGCGTCCTTGAGTATCAACACTCTGTATTGGGTGAAACTTTTATAATGCATGACTTGCAGTAATAGACCTAATTTGTTGTAATGATTTGCATATGATATTAGCAAGATTCTGCCTTCGGTTAAAGCTTTCGCTAATTTTTTGGATTCGAACAAATAAGGATTTAAAAATTTAACGTCCTCTAGATAATCGACCGCCACGTGATAAAACGTAGAGAGCTTCTTCTGCATCTCAGTCAAAGTCGGCAGATTTGATAATTCTCGCTCGATTTTTCGTAACTCGCTGTTATACGTCGCTTCCTGTGATGCTAGCGGTGATTCCTTGAAAGACTTGCGCATCATCGCTTCAACGGTGACGGATTCATTCACCCTTCTCAAATTTAAGAGCATGGAGTACGTGACTTTGAATTTCGACTCCAATGTCTGCGGCTCGCCGCACATCATAGGTTTCAAGTCGTTAAAGTGCGGTACGTCGTACCTGCACATCACTATAACTGTTCCCGTTGTGTCGTGACCTCGCCGTCCAGCTCTACCAGCCATTTGTATATATTCAGTCGGGTGTAAGATACGAAAGTTGTTTCCGTCGTACTTTCGTATGGAATCAAATACCACCGTGCGAGCTGGCATATTAACTCCCATGGCAAAAGTTTCTGTCGCGAATAGTAACTAAAATGCGATGAAATAACAACTGTTATATTTCTTTTTCTAAATTCTTTATATAATAACGTATTTTCAGTCTAGACGATATAAAGAATTTTACAAAGACTTTCTTTTAAATATTCTTTAATTACTACCCATCACTTTTCGACATGTTTTTGCGGAATTACCTTTACAACTCCACTTTGGAATAACATTTCTACGATTTCTCTCAAAATTGGCAGTATCCCACTATGATGTATACCTACACCTTTCTCCAAGAGCTCTTGCATCATAAGTACTTGTGGTAATTCTCTATCACTACCTTTCAGATGTTTTATATTAGAGTGAAAAAATGCATGCACTTGATGTTTCTCCCTCGCGGTTGTTAAGTCGAGATTTCTCAGTGTAGCAGCATTCATATCACAACGTTTTCTTGACAAAGTAAATACAACAACAGGTAACATATCCTGCAAAATGGATGGCGTTATACTGCATATAACTGCAAAATCTTTTTGAAAAATTAGTGTGGCTATTAAAAATTTACATTTTTCTGGAGATGACTTATAAATGCTCTCCATAATACTTCTTCTTGTTTTGGAGTCATCTGAATTCTTCTCCTAGAATCCTTTGGGTTTTTATTCTTTTTCTTATCGGATGCATTGGTCGCTTTGTACCATCTATAAATTGATATTAATAAAATATTATTATACTATGTACTTGCTTTGCTCACAAATATATATGTAAAGGTAAGAAGAGAAATGATTTACCCATCTAATAAGAACTGGCTGTTGCCATCAAAGACCAAAAACTTATCATCTTTAGTCTTACCATCAGTGCCAGTGTATAAGTAATGTAGAAGAGGTATTGGCCTATTCAAAGTGCTAATCACGTACATTTTTCGCTTCTTGATACGACCGACCCAATCTGCGAATATTATTGGATTTGGTACAGTCGCAGATAACATTACTATATTGATTGTCTGTGGTAAAAGAATGACTATTTCCTCCCATACGTGACCCCTCTGTAAATATAGGGTAATATAAATTGTTTAATCGCAATAATATCGTTTTTAGGATAATTAGTATAATCAATATTTCTCACATCTTCATTATTTATATAATGCACTTCATCAAATATGACAAATTCTAAATCCCGTAAAACATCAGATGCACAATACAACATTGATTGTAGAATCTCTGTCGTCATGATTAGGCATGAAGCAGTTTGATTTATTTGCAAATCACCTGTTAATAATCCAACGCTTTCAAACTTTCTCTTAAACTCGCGATATTTCTGATTTGATAGCGCTTTTATAGGGGATGTATAAATCACTCTAAAATGGGAAAAAATAGCAATTGGGAAATTAATAGTTAAATATTATTACAATATTAAAAGTTTGCACAGACTTTGCAGCTCTACCTCGTCATATGCTTTTGACTCAATGCAATGGCATATTCAGCAACAGTAGTCTTTCCTGCTTTAGTTATTGGTGCAGACACATCCAATTGCTCTGCCCATTCTGTCTTTGCAAACTCTGATTGTTTTTCTGATATTTTCAAGACAGGTATATTCGTCTCTTCAGGCAAAATAGAAATGTCTGTAAATGGAATGTTGTTATCCGAAATTTGAACATTCTCTTTCTTTGGCTCCTCAATTGAAGACCATAAACCAAGTAAATTTCCCTCCTCATGTATAACAGCCATTAAATTGATATTATTGTCAATTTTTAATTCTTCAGATTTTTTAATTTCTTCGACTTCTGTTTCATTCTTTGTGCAATTAATCGATGTGCAATTGTCGCTTTTAAATTCTACACCCGAACTAAAGCCTTTGGCTAATGTCCTCAAATTCTTTTCAAAGTCAATATCGTTTAGAAATTCATTTTCAGGTACTTCAGGTTCTTCAAAACCACCAGGCCAAAAAGGAATATTACTAGGATTACCTATAAAGAATGTATTATATTCAGGATATTGCATTTAGTATTTTATACAGTGTTTGATTATGTTTTGATTGATATTTGTTAAAATTCTGATCAAGAGAAATACATATAACAATAAGATCATAGAACACCTCGAACTCCATCTGTAAGCGGTCCAGGTGCACGAGTCATAGACATAGAATTTCTTGCTGTTTCTCCTGCGCCTTGCAAGACGATTTCTTGCATTTCGCCAATCTTGCCTGTTATAGGATCGCGATCAAACTTTAGCGTAGTATCGATTGGAGCCAAATCAAACTCCAATAACGAACAAACATTTGGTTTACGCGACCAGTAACATTGAGCACTGTTCAGCTGATGTATAGGTAATCGTTCAGGGCATTCGATATATTCCCGTAGTTCTAACTTGATGTCAGGCCAAATCGGTGGAGGACCAATGTGTAACTAAAAAATTTATATACTTAAATGCACGAAACTTTATTAAGAAGAGTCATACACATGATATTTAATGACACTTACCTCTGATGATTCATTCATTGCTATGTTAAGTTTGTTAAGTTTCTTTGTGTTTATATTTATTAATAAATTACAATATAATTAATATTCTTTAAAATTATTAATATATAAGCTTTGTCACAACATAATTGATAAACTAAGAAATAATTTTACAAGTTCAATCATTCATTAAATAATTACCATAATCACTTATTTCTCAAATTATTTAAATTTCGGAAAATACTTGAATCGAAAATAATTTTTATACAATTGTTTTCAGTTGATCAGCTGTGAATTAAAAATCAGAGAGACTCCAATCTCTAATCGGCAGGAGACTATAGAGACCTCTGTCAGTCGGCCGTAAACTACGGATTCGTAGTTTTCGTATTATGGCTAAAATACACAGAAAATTTAAATAAAATTATATATTTATTATTCCGTGCTAGATCCATAATTGCGGATCAAAAAGTGAAGTTAAAATAAGAAATATGGATTTATTAATGTTTTATTAGCTGCGCGTAATGTTTTGTGTTCTAGTATATACTACGGACAGCGATTATAAATTATTATTGAACAAGTATTTTTATATATATGCGCATGTGAAATGAAATAAATTTTCTTAATAAATATATCCTTAATTTAAAAATAATGTGTAGAAGATATTTATATTCTATACAATATATTCTATACATTTATATTCTACACAATATTATGAAAGATATCGCAATTTTTCATGTAACATTTTGCGAAAACCTAACAGCTAACAGTATCCCTATCATCGCGAACGAAATAATTAACGCTGCTAATTATTAAAACTTTATAAATCATTAAAATGCTTTAAAATTAATATACTATTAATAATACTTTAAAATTATATAAGCAGTTATTACGTTATAATAAAATAGTATTCCGTTCCGAAAATCGAGCAACGTTTTGTGAAAACTTAATTAAACAGGCGACCGTCAATCAAGCGACATATTATACAATCATATGTAAATTAATTAATTAACTTTGCTTATAATCAGAACTTTTTAGAAATACAAAAAAACTTTTTTTATTATATCATATATACATTTTTTCTATCTTTTCTTACAACTATAGTATATACATGTGTATATATACACATATATATATGCAAAATATGTACATTTGTTTTATTCCATCTGGTAAGTTCTCAATTTTGCTCTGTCTTTGTGCTTATTTTTCTTCCGCAATCTCTGAATATGCTTCTTCAATTTACCTTTGTTTTTCAATTCTTCATACTGAGAGACTAAATCCAAAATTTTCTGTTCAGCTGCAAAAAACAAATAAAATAAAAAAAAAACAGTCACAAGATAAATCTATTAACCCCTTGACTATTTAGTTAGCTTACATTTTTTCTTAAAGACAGGTTTCTCTCCTCGTTTAATTAATTCTTGCACTTCCTTCTTCTCTTCTCGCTTCTTCTCTTCTTTCTCCCTTCGCTTCTTTTCTTCCCTTAGCTGATTTTCAAATCTTTGAATGAGATATTTTATCTTTTTTATAGTTTTTGGATCGGTAGCTTCTTTTAATTCATTTTTCAAGGTTTCGAGATCATTCTTTCGTAAGTCATTAATAAATGCATAAGAATGTTTAAAGACTTTTTCATCAAATGTACCGCATAAACTATCAAATCTGGGATCTCGGACTACAACTTTTTTGACCGAAACTAATTCTCTAAATCTGGAAACTGGTTTTTTAGCAGATATTTCCCGTGGCCTGTTCTTATTTTCCCGTTTAAATTCTGTCTTTTTCTTGCTTTTGTTTCCAAATATTGTTTGATTATATATCTTAGTTCCCAATTTTTCCTTTAATTTCTGCAAATCTTCGAAACTCATATGTTTCAACTCCTCTCGTATTTGTTCCTAAAACAAATATAAAATTTATTACTACATATACAAATAGCACGTAAACATTTTTAGTAAAAAAAAATGTTTAGTAAAAATAGCAGTGACAAAATCAGCTACATAAAAAAAAAAGAAAAAAATAAAATATCTTACACGATCTTGGTCCTCTGCAAGTAGAGATCTTTCATCATCGCTCATGTTGAATTTTATACTTTAAAATTTTTAGGTTAGAATTATAATTTATTTGTACCAGAGAGAAACCTGAGAGGGGTCACGCCGCCGTTTAATTCTTCATACTGAGAGACTAAATCCAAAATTTTCTGTTCAGCTGCAAAAAACAAATAAAATAAAAAAAAAAACAGTCACAAGATAAATCTATTAACCCCTTGACTATTTAGTTAGCTTACATTTTTTCTTAAAGACAGGTTTCTCTCCTCGTTTAATTAATTCTTGCACTTCCTTCTTCTCTTCTCGCTTCTTCTCTTCTTTCTCCCTTCGCTTCTTTTCTTCCCTTAGCTGATTTTCAAATCTTTGAATGAGATATTTTATCTTTTTTATAGTTTTTGGATCGGTAGCTTCTTTTAATTCATTTTTCAAGGTTTCGAGATCATTCTTTCGTAAGTCATTAATAAATGCATAAGAATGTTTAAAGACTTTTTCATCAAATGTACCGCATAAACTATCAAATCTGGGATCTCGGACTACAACTTTTTTGACCGAAACTAATTCTCTAAATCTGGAAACTGGTTTTTTAGCAGATATTTCCCGTGGCCTGTTCTTATTTTCCCGTTTAAATTCTGTCTTTTTCTTGCTTTTGTTTCCAAATATTGTTTGATTATATATCTTAGTTCCCAATTTTTCCTTTAATTTCTGCAAATCTTCGAAACTCATATGTTTCAACTCCTCTCGTATTTGTTCCTAAAACAAATATAAAATTTATTACTACATATACAAATAGCACGTAAACATTTTTAGTAAAAAAAAATGTTTAGTAAAAATAGCAGTGACAAAATCAGCTACATAAAAAAAAAAGAAAAAAATAAAATATCTTACACGATCTTGGTCCTCTGCAAGTAGAGATCTTTCATCATCGCTCATGTTGAATTTTATACTTTAAAATTTTTAGGTTAGAATTATAATTTATTTGTACCAGAGAGAAACCTGAGAGGGGTCACGCCGCCGTTTTTCCTGTAAAGGCCCGTCTACATAAGACGCAACACGCCAGACGCAAGCAAAATCGATTTTGCTTGCGTCTGGCGTGTTGCGTCTTATGTAGACGGGCCTTTACAGATACGAAAATATTATAGATTTGTTAATATTTCATGTTAGCTGCGCGTGATTTATTTTTATTTTAATACATATTATGGTCGGGAAGACGCTAGAAATGCTTCGAAACGTTTGGTTGACCAATCAGGACAAAAAGAGTAAAAATTTCTTTATTCTGATTGGTTAATGTAATGCTTCGAAGCATCTCTAGCGTCTTCCCGACCGCAGCCTGTGTTCATCTTGACGCAACAAATGCTGGAAGCGTTCGATTAACCAATCGAGGCAAAGATTTCCTTATCCTGATTGGTCAATCAAAAGTTTCGAAATTTTCATAGCGTTAAACCATAGATATACAAAATACATAGATGTAGTATTAACTGCTAATGTGGGATCAGGCTGGTAGGCTCTGTTCGACGCGCAATCGCATTCGCATGTTTGATCATTTTGTTTACGCGTATCCGGTGATTGTCTACAACAAAGAGAGAGAGAGAGTCTGCTGCTAGAATCAAGGTACCGGATAATCTTTTTTTCACAATATTTTTCGGTTTTTCCAGTTCTGTAAAAATTATTCAAGTTTTATTACAATTAATACTCAGAAAGACAAAAATTTGTTGTAGGAATGAAATACTAGCTCATGATCAATATTTTTTATATATCGTACCACGAATTTGTCGGATATTCCGATTGATTGTCGAATACAGAATTTCTAGAATCTCGAGAATTTTTTCAATAATAGTCCGAAACAATATACCGACAAACTCATTATACAATAAATTAAATATGCATCGATACCGACGAGGTATTGTTTTTAAGATTTATAGTTTTACATAACATATAATATTTATTAAAATGATTCATAATCTCAAATATTATTCGTAAAATAATATTAGTCAATTAGGTTTGTTCGCGTTGCTTGAACTTTTTCCACTCAGCATCTTCGCTTTCACTCTCTTCAACATCCGAATATATATTTATTTCGTTTTAAGTGCAAAAATTTTTGGGAATTTTAAGCAACGCGAACAAACCTATATATATGTCTATATCAATTTCAGCACAAAACCTTAATATAATTTTCTCAAGAAATTCTTAATAATAATAAAACGATCGCTTAGCGATATACAATGAATGCCGGAAATATATTCGAGAATTAACAAGATAAACGTGAGCGTTTCAATGCAGACATCGTGGTTGCGCGCGTATTTATTCCGCATTGCGCAAGATTATGAAATATCTAATTTTACGCGATGCACAGAGGGCACACACACACACACACACACACACATACACGACAAATGTCATTATATCGAGATGCAATACGCCCTTTTACGACCGAACGCCCGTAAAAGAGTAATCATCCGCGAATGCGGATTATGCAGTATTGCGTAAAAATCCATGTCCGCTCGATAGTTCGTTCTGTTGGCGCGCTTGCCAGCACCAAGGTCGTCCGAGTTCGAATAATCGAATAAGCGTCGTTAATTCCTAATTGCATTGATCTGCAGCTTTGCAATTATTTTTTTTTCGCGTAACCAATTTTCATTGTGTCTTCGATAAGCTTACGAGTTCACTCTCGCGAGTTTTTCTTTCGTCTTTGAAATTACGTCGAAAACTACGTCGATATACACATGACAAAATGCACGTCGCACATATGTAATATATAGCGTACAGACGGGATAAGAATAAATAGATGAGTTTAAGCGGAGACTAAATTATATCAAAGTTAAATCGGAGGATATATACGCGTATAAAAAAGGGGCGAAAAGAAATGCTACGAAATAAAAGTATTCCATCAATTTGAATATATCCGATCTTTGAAACCAATGACTATTTTTTGAAAAGGAAAATCTTGTTGTAATATATGAATCTTATTATATGTATAATATATTAGAAATGTTTGTAAAAATAAATATTAATAGCAAATAAAATAACATTATAGAATAATTATTCGTATATATGTGTAGGCACGCGCGCATGCAGATTTGAATTTAGCGCGACTCTGCAGAGTCATTCATTAGTCACGTGATTTGATTTTAGTTCGGACTTCAGACTTTGAGACAGGTGTCGCTGAAAAAATAACCAGCCTTCCCCCCCCCCCCCCCCCCCCCCCCCCCCCCCC